AGAGCCAGGCCTTATGTTATATGTGAGAGAGAGAAGAGTGAACAAGACTTACCTGCTTGCTGCTATCATGGAGTTCAGATGAACTTGAAATAGACAACAAACAAGTAATTGAAAATGTGATCAATGACAGGAGAATAAGAGCAGGGCCTCAGGCATGAGGACACATGCACATAAACTGAAAGACATTCACAGAGCAATGGGACTTGGGCTTTTTTCATCTTTTCTATATACTCCAGATTCTCAGGCGAAGGGAATGATGAAAAGATGTGACTGACTTAGATTAATGACTAAGCTAATAGCCTGCCCTTTTAAACAAGAAGCTGAGCTTTCTTACCTGCTGGTCAATCTCTCAGAAGGCTTTTTGAGAGCTCATTATAGATCAAGTTCATTCAATAAAATTCCCCCATCAGGCTCTTAAAGGGTCAAGTTTCTGGGTGCACTCCAATTAAAATAACTTCTGTCTTTGACAGAACCACGGGATAGTGCTTTAAGGACCCTTGGAAATATCACTTGGAAATAGGAATGATACAAATTAGGATTAGATATTTAAATGATATTTTTCTAAATTCAGATAGCTAGATAGAAACTCAGATCTTTTGACTCTAATATATGATGTGGTAATGAGTTATGCTCCTTCTGGTGAAGCTTCTAGAAATTTTTTTAGAAGATTTTATTTATTTATTTGTCAGAGAGAGAGAGAGAGTGAGCACAAGCCGGGGGAGTGACAGGCGGAGGGAAAAGCAGGCTTCCCGCTAAGCAGGGGAGCCTGATGTGGGTCTCAATCCCCTGGGATCACGATCTAAGCCGAAGGCAGATGCTTAACCGACTGAGCCACCCAGGTGTCCCACTTCTGGCAGTTTTATAACAAGCCTACAGAAGAGGCCAAGCATGTATATAATTTTTTGGATTTAGATTTCAAAACATTGATTTAAAACTACTATGCACCCTCAGAAAATAAATGAAAAATTAAAACTACCTATAATTCCTCATCTTCTCAGTCTGCTATCTGATGACCTAACTCAGGATTTGAAAATGGTATCATAGATTTTTTGTTGTCATTGTTATGTCCATATAATTTTAGGGACTTGAAAGTTAGTTCTTGATGAACCCAAAGAGGTTTCTAGTAATTACTACTTGGTTTTCTCAGGATTCCTGCATTTTCTTTTAAATCTTATGATGCAGAATTAGTGCATGCCAAATTGCCCATCTCTTAATTATAGAATATCCCTTTTGTTATTGTTGCAAGTGAAATAGTAAAATAATTTTGTTAATTTTAGGTAGACTCAGATTTAAATATTTTTTTTTCAAAAGATTTGATCGATGCCTTATTTAGTGTTTCTTATCAGAATTATCTTATGGAAATTGTAGGAGTTATCAAACCGGTCCTTTCCTGCCAAAATTACTAAACCAGTTTTTTTTAACTTCTATTAACTTATTTTGTAAGGTGAGGATGATCTCTGAAAGAGGAGCTATTTTTAAGCCAGCCTAAGCATATTCCTTCCTTCCTCCCTCCTCCTAATTTGTGAGGTCAATGATATCCACCTCTTTGACTAATAGGAAATCCTATCTGTATGAAATCAGCTTATCTAAATATATTAGGAATGTCTAACAGTCCTGTTTCATGGAAATTAAATGAGTGACTAACTTTATGATGAGAAAAATCACAAGGTCATGGCCACTGTTGCTTTAAAACTAAATTAGCAAATCTTGAGAACAGTTTGCTTTTGCTCTTTCCATGGTAAGAGCTCAGTGGTCATCTTTCTCTTAGATTTTGACCTTCAGAGCATCTCCAAGGCCCAGGCTGTAAGAGTAATGGCAGATGATGGGATTGGGGGTGATTTGATAAAGTATTAAATAAGCAACAACCCTGTCTTATGACACTTGAAAATGGTTCCTCTAAAAAAACTTCTGAAAGTCTGTTAGGAACCAGAACTAGCATCCAACACTGGTGTTATACGCAAACAATGAATCATGGAACACTACATCAAAAACTAATGATGTAATGTATGGTGATTAACATAACATAGTAAAATAAAATTAAAAAAAGAAATAATCTTAGTACAATCATATTTGGAGACATCCACATATTATGCTATTATATATTTTTTTATTACAAATGAATATTTCCAGCAGTTAAAATAGTGGTTGAGTGTCACATTAATTTAAAGAAAAATGATTTCATTATGGGGCATTTACTTTACTATCTATTGAGCAAATATTTCCATTTGGTGGCTCCTTACTCGGTTGTGAAGTTTGAAATCTGAGTTGTGAATGTTGTCAGGATAATCATCTGTGAGTGATAAACATAGCTTGGGCTTGTATTTGAGGGTTCTCTCGTTTCCCTTTCACATCTTCAAAGAAACCCTTTCAGCATTTGTATGCTCATGATATACCAAATCTTCCCTCATCAAAATCATATCATAAAATCTGATGAAGGCTTTCAGAAAAAAAAAATCTTGGTACAATTATGTCAGTACATTTATAAAATGGGCTTATTCTCAAAAGTTCCTTTTCTTTCATCTCAATACCTTCCTATATTTTGTGGACTGAAAGGATTTTCTATTGTTCAATGAACTTTAGGGATCTTTGGAGCAAATGGAAGAATGTTTGGTGGGAAGGTGGGGTGAGGAGCACAGCAATGGTCAGGAGGAGGGGGAGTCATCTAGAATTGTTTATTCTAAGGGAAAAAACCAACAATGTTGAATCCTTTGATTTTATGCTTTGAAGTTTTGTGAGTCATATAGTAATACCTAGACTAAGGAACCCACTCTTTCTGTGAGTGGTAGAATGTTTATGAGGAAGATTGCCAAGGCAAGAAAGTTTTCTCAGAAATTCTGCAATTCAATGTAAAAAGAAGTACATGATTAATGTAAACTTGAGATTCTCATAGCTTATTTGAGAAATAATCTCTGTAATGCAGAGCTTTTCTGTCTTTTTCAGTCAATATATAATTTTTTTAAAAAAAGAATATTTGTAAGATATCCTGAGGTTAGCCAATAAGGATGCTGGAGCCTGGGAGCCCCAATTATCCCAAGCTGTATACCCACACCTGTAGCCCATCTGCATGGCATGCACATGTAAACTCTCTGCGACTCACTGATGGGAAAGCTCTGCACAGTATCAACTTTTTACAAGTAGATTTCCATCCCTTCGATCTTTATTAAGTGACACCCCTTGCACTCAAAGGAAATCAATTTGATCCTCAGCTCTGTTTCTTTATTAGGGAGTGAATCTGATTTGTGCTAATGATAGAAATTAGTCTTCAAGTAAGTTTTTATTAAGTATCTTGCCATTTTGTGTCAATTACAGATCTGAGTAACACCAAGACATAAAATAGGTAAAATACACACAAGCTGAAAGGAAAAAGCATGCTCTTCAGTAAAATCTTTGGCAGATGCTGGTCCTCTAAGAAACAACCACATCAACCTCATCTTGTGAGAGAAATCTCTTTATGTCTTAAGCAGATGATAAGCTACCATAATAATAATAAAAAAGCACATGAGCCCACCTAATTATCTTCACTAAATCTGAACAACAAAACAGCCAATCCTCCAACCCTACTCCCACTGCTGCCCTCTTGCCTACACATACCACCATTCAAAGTTGTATCCACCTCTTCTTTTCTCCCCATATAACATGCAGAGAGAATTTTAAAAGTAGTGATTGAGCCATCTGATATCCTTTAATTGCAGCAGTTACACAACCTAGTTACAGATTACAGTAAACTTGGAAGCTTTTAGAATTTACCTTTATCCAGGTGCCATTAAATCATAGTCTCTGGTGTTGGGGAGATATCAAGATTCCCCCAAAGTAAAATAGTTTATAAATAATGAGGCAATGGATATGCTAAAATGCAATGTGTATTTGAATTCACAGAAGGTACTGATTACTGTTAGCTGAAGTTTTAAAGAACATGGTTAAGAAGAGTTGGTGCTTGGGCTAGAAGATGCGAAGGGTATTTTAGGTGGAGGCCTAAAAAGACAGCCTGATGGAAGGAAAAAGTAGGAACTATGCCTGAGACTCCAGATGAACTCAGATTGGTTGGGGAAAAGGATGAGACAAATCTGGATGATTTTAATACTCATTTGGGAAGCAATGGAATTGATATTATATAACTGGGTGAGCCAGTGTTGAAGATGCTTAATAGAAGCCTGAGGGCCCATCCTGGAATTAAAATGATTTTCATCAGAGAGGAAAGGAATGGGATTAGACAGCATAACATCCAGAGTCTTTGGTCAGTCTGCTTTCTGTAGCAAGGTTGATGACTTAGAGCTATCACTCTTCTCTCAATATATACTTTTCTTGTCTCTCATTACCTAATGTTTGCATATCCCTCATACCTAGTTTGTACGTGCAACTGTTGATATTCATTTGCATTTATGGATCATATTTCTGGGATTTTTCATTACAGAACCCCTAATGACAGTTCAAAAAATTTAAGTGGTTATGTTTGCAGTGGTAACCAGCTCTGCTCTAGTTACACAGACTTGGATAAATCACTCAATCCCTTCAGACTTGGTTTCTTCCTTTATGCAGAGATGAGATAAGACTAGGTATTTTCTAAAATAAAATACAGAACTAACATCGGAGCACCTGGGTGGCTCAGTCAGTTAACCATCTGACTCTTGATTTGGGCTCATGTCATGGTCTCAAGATTGTTGGATTGAGCCCTGCGTTGGGCTCCATGCTCAGCATGGAGATTGCTTGAGATTCTTTCTCTCCCTCTTCCTTTGCCCCTCCCCCTGCTCGCACACTCTATAAATAAATAAATAAATAAATAAAACCTTAAAAAAAAAAAAGAACTGACATCACATGCATTTCTGGTGACTACTCTCTGCCATACAAAGGGCAAGGTTTGTAACTAAAGATTGTTTCTTAGCCATCTGTCCCCACTAGGTTTGGGCACACTATTATTTAGATAGGAAAGTATATATCCTTCATTTTCTCTGATTAGTTCAAAGTAAAATAAATAATGTTTGACAAGAAAGAAAATACTGACCTTATTCATTTTTATTTCTTTGGACTGATCAATGAAGGTAGTTAAAAAAAAATCAGTAGGTTATTAACTATACTGGTGGAAATATTTAAGATCAGTAAGGGAAATCATCACACTCCATGTCACTCACACATAAAATTTACAGAGCAAGTAGTTATCCTTTTAAAGATTTTAATACATACTTAAAAATGGACAATTTATTATTACATAATTATATAACATTGATACTATTAGATATGTGGGTGTATATATTTTTCTTTTCAATAAAATAGTTTCATGCTTATAAAAGTCACCCTAAATCAACTTGGACAAAGAGAACAAACATACAGTAGAAATAAACCAAGTAGTAAATAGGATATAAGTAAGGAAAAATATTATAAAGCAGTTACATTGTTGACACAAAAGAAAAAAAAATACACTTTTCTATTATTTGAAGGCAATTCACAATCATTTCCAGGAATTCTGTGAGAATTTAAGGCCATTTGTTTTAAAGAAATGCTTTAATTTAGACACAACGTCACAAAACTGTAATTCTTGTAAAAACTGTACATGCAAAAACTCTTTACAAGTCATTGTGGACAGGCAGTTCAGTATGTAGGAGTAGGTTATCTCACAAATGTGTTGTGCACTAAGTCACGTGGTTGTGTATATTTCACTGGGAATTTCACAAAAAACTTCCAGCCTGTGCACCAGCATGGCAACATGGAAAGATGATAACAAGGAGTCCAAATCAAGAGAGCCAGTATCCCTTTGAATTAAAATATCTAGACAAGGTATAATGGAATAAAAAGTTTAAAACCTCTGCTACATTGTTCACAGTTAAATATTCTGGGTTTTAGTCTTTCTAAATAGCATTATAATATAAAGATGCTGCTTTGTACACGAAGTATTTTCTGTGCATTTTACAGTTCACAATGTTTGACTTTTTATTATTTCTACTGAGAATTACAGAACATAAACTGGCTGCAGTCTAAATTTAGAATCCAAGCTCCATGAAAAATGCATGTTCGTACAGAATACACACCTGCTAAGCTTAAACTCCCATACCTTGCAAACAACGCGGAGGAACTCAATACTAAGCAGATGCGGCCTCATAAGACAATGCACTTACTGAGAAATATGAAGTATCTCTCCCTTCCCTTATTTGCAATTGTATTTGTCCAGACAGTCATTCAAAGAGATATTGCTCTTGTGATTATAGCTATTGCAATTTAGAAGACAAAGGATTCAATATTCAAAACTCTTATTCTTAAGAACAGTTATAAAAGTATTGAAATTTAAAAAGTAGTAACATGTAAACATTGATACAGAGAGACTGCTCTCCTATACACACAGCAGTCGAGGACAATATTTGAGTTAAAAACAGTTTGTGCTTTTTCCCAACAATACATTGGAAATTAGCTGTTTCTGTCCCCCCCGCCCCCCGCCCCCCGCAAAAAAGAAAGTTTCAGAGAAGACATCCATATTTTGCTTCAAGCATTTAAACAATTTTTCTGTTGCTCATGCAACAACCATATTTACAGTTTTGGTTTAGAAAGAGAATTAATTTTGGATCCAAGAAAGCATATTAACCAGTACTGCTGAAACCAAACTGAGAAAAGTATCTCATTCCCTGGTTCATGACAGAGCACCAGGAGCAAAGCGTTGACTCAGCAGTTCTAACTGATGTGTAGTTAACGGGAGCCGTTCGGAGCACAGTCAGATCTGAGTGTGTAACACATGTGTAGGTGGGGTGTAGGGCGGAGGCGCAGGGGACGGCTTGATGCCGCGGGCCCTCATGTAGGAGAGGAACTGCTCAGGGATCTCCGCGAGGACATCTTTGGCCAGTCTAGCCATGCTCAGTATGTGGTTTCCGCTTCTGTCAATATAATCCCGGAACGGCACAAACTAAACAGAGGTGAGAGAAAGTTATTTCAGAGACTTCAGCATGCTGTTTAATAGACACAAAAAGCAACACATGTAAACACTTAGTTGAGAATCAGAGAAGCCTGGAGGAATGGTTAGATGGATAATCATTACTATGCATTTTCAAGAGATTTGATTCATCATGAACAGCTAGGTACTACAGTGACCAAACCTTTCTATGGTGTATGCTTTATCTAAAAAGGGATGTAATTATTTTCTATGTTTTTTTCTCCCAATAACTCCTGTCTCCTGGTCCCGACAGGTCCATCATCTTGCTATAGGTGTTCAGTTTGAGTTCTATACCTCACCTGACTCCCAATAGGATAGAGCATTTACCTCGTCAGGGCTTGGTTTCCTACCCATGGAGTTAATACATGCCGAAATCAGCTTTCAATGCAGAAACAGTATCCAGTGGAGAGTAAAAAAAGAAAGGGTGTATTGTTGAAGAAGCCTAAACACATATGAAGTATTTTTAATTATTAGTAAAACATCAGATCACATGTCCCAGATACTTATTTTTTCAAATCTGTAATTTGGAATGGAAAAAAAAATAGTTCAGCGTAAGAGTTGGTATACTTCTTATTGAAATATCATCATTCTTGTTTTTATATCATATAAAAATACTCTATCTTTACATAAGCAATTATGTGAGAGCCATTATCAGCTCAACATTAAATACTCTGGCAGTAAATTGCCTGATTCTATCTTCATTTACAATGGTTACTTAAGTTAATAAACATGTGCTGTTTGAGGGCATTAGTTCAATTTGCCTTCAGAGACATGATGATTCTTGAAGCGACCTGGAAATGTTTGGAACCATTAATGTTGTGAACCCAGTAATTTTAGGTCTTAGAGAAAAGGCACTGTGAAGACATTTGAGAATGATGAACAATTTCTAAGTGTAATATTTAACAGTTTGAGTTAAATCATTTTTCTCCTCTAGAGAGAGCGAGCACACTCCCACCTCCTACTATACCATAACTGTGTTAAATGGACTCTGAGAAAGAAACTGAGGGTTCTAGAGGGGAGGGGGGTGGGGGGCTGGGTTTGCCTGGTGATGGGTATTAAAGAGGGCACGTTCTGCATGGAGCACTGGGTGTTATATGCAAACAATGAATCATGGAACACTACATCAAAAACTAATGATGTATTGTATGGTAATTAACATAATAAAATAAAATTAAAAAATTATTTTGAAAAGTTTACTTTTGATTTAAGTAGCTACTCAAGATGTGCTTTCAGAAAAAACTATTATGAGGAAATGGGCTGTAAAATGGTCAGATTGCTACAGGTAAACCAAATTAAAATTTTAAGAAATCAAGTAGCAAGTGTAATACTTTTTATGCAGTGAACACAGTCTCTTTTAAGGAAGAGTAGAAAATTACTCCTTTCTTTTTAAAATAAGACATACTGTGGGCAGAAGCAACCTATATGACTATAATTTTACCCTGTCTTGCTAACCAGGAGGAAAACTCAGCCCAGCTTTTAGAAAAGTGTTGTAGAAAGGTGACCAAGTTTTCTCTTACACCTGAAGGTAGCTAAGCCAGGGTAAGAAAAACTAGTAGAGCGAATATAATCTTCAACTGAGAAGAGAGCTAAGGGGAGGTGAACTTGTGTGAAGTCAAATTATCTAACTTTGGACAAGACTTGACATTCTTAACAAAAAAAATCAAAGAGGTGTAAAAAAGTTAGGGTTTTTTTTTTTTCTCTAAAACTATAATTAGAAAAGTGAGAAAACAGGAATGAATAAGATTGAGGATTAATGAGAAAAAGATATCTAATTGCTATAGCTTACTTCATTCTTTTAAAAGGCATAGCATTTTATTTTTTTTATTTTATTATGTTATGTTAATCACCATACATTACATCATTAGTTTTTGATGTAGTGTTCCATGACTCATCGTTTGCGTATAACACCCAGTGCTCCGTTCAGTACGTGCCCTCTTTAATACCCATCACCAGGCTAACCCATCTCCCCACCACCCTCCCCTCTAGAACCCTCAGTTTGTTTCTCAAGAGTCCATAGTCTCTCATGGTTCCTCTCCCCCTCTGATTTCCCCCCCTTCATTTTTCCCTTCCAGGCATAGCATTTTAAAAATAAACACTGGGTATGCTTAGTATCCAGTAATTATCCCTTAAACTTTATTTTTAAGAGTTCAGTTTTTCAGAAATCTGTAGCTAATACATCCATTTGAGGGAAAGGATGGCACCTCTGGCAAGTAGTTGATCTCACCCATTGTATGTTTACCCCAACTTTGGTCTTATATTTTTCTTTGCCTCTTTACCTTTACTTCTACACCATGGACGTTAAACTCAGTTCTCTTTTTACCCCCTATTCTCCCCAACCCTGGAATTAGACTGTCCAGGTTCAAAGGCTGGACAATCTTAGACAAATGATTTTCTACTCTTTGTTTCCGTCTCCCCTTCTGAAAATGAGGATGATAATAATGCCTGCTTTATTAGGTTGCTATATTAAGTAGGTTAACATGTAAAGTACTTAAAATAGTGATCAACTCATAATATCTACTATACATGGTAGTTGTTGTAATCATCACTACTATTACTATTCATCAACTTATATGTGTATATTAAATATAAATATAAAACTATATTCTTAATAGTTTTCTATTTACATTCACATCAAACATTAAATACAAGGAATATCCTTCTCCATTTAGCTTTATCAGATTTAAGTACAATATCTGTGTTGTCTTCTAAGTAATTCCTGGCCTTTTTGTTATTTTAAAACACGCACTGCTTCATCTTTCCAGCAAATGCTAGGAGATGTGCTAATTTTTTTTATTGAAGTAAATTAAAATTCATCTTTAAGAATGTTGTGATGCTCTGGGATGTCAAAACTTAGATTCACAACCACCCTTCTCATAATACATGCAGATCTACTCATATTTAAAAGATGTTCATAAATAATGGGTAAGAAAGAAATCTTAGTTTTCAGCCGAAGAAGAAAGTATGTATCACATTTAACTTAGGCTTGTTCAGTGGGGCCATGGATTCTGCCTGCCCCCTTGAATATTGGGGACCTTGCCCCCAGGGTGAGAATCACTGCCATAGAGAGTTCCTGTTATCAACAGCAATACACCTCATCCCACCTGTGTGCTGGGAGTAGACAAAAAATGTTGAGAACTTTCTACTCACTAACCAAAATTATCTAAACCGTTCCCACAGGGACATTCAGCTCTTCAGTCACGTCACAAGCTACTCTCCTAAGCGAGAGATGAAAATGACAAGTGACTCTTCATTTCCTTTACCTCTTCTTCATGTCAAATCTTACAGTTGTCAGGACAAAATATGCCCTCTGTAACACTATTGCTCATATCCTTCTACAATCAGTTTCCCACTCATCTTCTCAGGCCACTCTGATTATTGCCTTTTTTTTATCATTCATTTCTGATCACCATACCTAGGGACCTCCTGTTCAAAATAATGCTCACACATTTGTGGATGAGTGTTGTTCATTGACTATCCCCACAAATTAACTTGGACCCTTAAAATGTTCAGTCTAGGGGGATAAATCAGTTTTAACTTTGCACGAATTTATCACATTCATCTGGAGAATATCAATAAATGCATTCTGTTCTGTAGAAATATACTATATCCTTGATACTCTACAGATTTTTTTTTTTCCAGCATCCATCCTGTACAAGGAAAATGTTCCACATGACTGTTCTAACGGTTGGCTTTACCTATTTGTGAAAACAAGTTTTGAATCAGTTTGGGCAAATGGACTTTTAGTTGCTATTCTGCTCAATTTTACTTCATTGTTCCTACTGTGCAGAGCTCCATTAGTGATATTCAAGTCTAAACCTTCAAGGTTATTATTCTCCTTTTAATGGAAAATATGATTTGAATATAATTTTTAAGGAAATGATAGGCCAACCAACACCTGCATGCAGCCAGAAGAAATGACATTACATTATACACAATGGCCAATTCATAGCATAAACAAATAGGAAGCCTTTACATATATTGATTTAAGAAAATAACTCTTTTAAATTTTAGAGTAACAACCATAGGATCTCATCTTGCTTACTATTTGTACTATAGTCATGAGATTCAATCTTGAGGCAATGAATATAATCACACATAAGTCTGACTACAGTGTCCCATGTCAAGGTACAGCTACTATGAAAAACTGACATAAAAATGAATTTGCACTGGACTATGCCAAGAGACCATCTAAAAATAATAACTAATATTGGCACTAATGCATTTATCGAGCAACTGGTAGGTAACAGGCCTTCTGCTAAAAGATTTATACAGTATCTTATCATTTCCTTAAAAAGATTATACAGTATCTCATTAAATTTTTATAAGCATGTTACCCATATTTTGAATTTACAGAAGAGGAAACTGAAACTTGGAGAGTTCAATTAACTTAGATCAGATGCTTATCAGTATCTATCATTATTTGAACCTAAATTGATCTAACCCTGAGACATGAACCACTACAGTAATATGAAAGGGGAAATAGATCCTAATAATCTTCACTAGACTTTTATGAGAGTAGGTGTGTTATAACAGAAAGAACACAGGTTTGGGAATCAGAACTCTGTTGGAAATTTGGATCTACCAATTTATGACTTAAACGATTTTGCACAAGTTGCTACCTGGGCCCCAGTTTCCTTATGCATAAGTTACTAAAAAGCAAAAAGTGACCAGTATTTTTAGGAAGATATAAAGTGGTATGTGAATAAACTCAAAGATGGGAAATTAGTTCAGGTGTGCAGAGAGGGCTTTGTGCAAGGCTATATAATGAGAACTTTCAAAATGTAGGATTTTAATCAGCACAGAAGAGTATTCAGGTGAAATAATAAGAGGAAATAAAAACAAGAACAATGGAAATGTGTGATGCAAAGATAGTTGGTAGTCCTATCTGTCTAGACAAAGTGCGTGTGTGTGTGTTCAGCTAAAGAGGAAGATTGAGGTAAAGTCATGGAGACTCATATATATGCTATGTTTAGGTTTTAGAATCAAAGTTATACATAATTTTGTTAAGAATTTTAGAATCATGGGCGCCTGGGTGGCTCAGTTGGTTAAGCGACTGCCTTCGGCTCAGGTCATGATCCTGGAGTCCCGGGATCGAGTCCCGCATCGGACTCCCTGCTCGGCAGGGAGTCTGCTTCTCCCTCTGACCCTCCCCCCTCTCATGTGCTTTCTCTCTCTCATTCTCTCTCTCTCAAATAAATAAATAAAATCTTTAAAAAAAAAAAAGAATTTTAGAATCAGACATTTTAAGGTTAAATCTTCACTCTACTTCTTATTAGCTACATGACTATGGACGCTAAGAATTAAACCTCATTTCTTTCTTTCTTTTTTTTTTGTAAAATGTAGTAATCAAAGTACCTACATAAGGTCAATTAAGGATTGAGTGAAGTGATACTAGAGCTCTTAGCCTGCCTAGCATACAAACGGAGTTAATAAATGACTCAATATTATTATTATATGAAGAAGTTGGAAGCCACTTAAGGTTTGACACAATAATGAGAACTCCATCCACTACCCTCAACTTTCTGCTAAATCTAAGCTACCTTTGGCTTTTGTTATTATTTGTGGCCTTAGGCTTTTGTTTGCCCACTTAAAAAATTTGGATTCCATTTGCAGTGCATTAACCTGATTTGCTTCAACATATAAGAAATTGGAAGTAATGAAAAGGTAAGAGAGCTTAAATGGACCCTATTTTCTGATAATATTTTAACCAGCAGTATTTACAGCATCAACTGTGATGGCTTAGATATTTTCTGATGATGGAGATTGACAGTTTTATCCTTGGTGTGCTCTTGTGACCCCATTATTCTAAATATTCAAGAGTATTTCTATTCTTGAAAATAACTCATTTAAAAAACATTTTACTGGATGGTGAAACCTGGAAAACTGTGATGGTAGGATATTTTTATTTTTTATTTCTTTTAGAGGGGGGAGGGGCAGAGGGAGAGAGAGCATCCTAAGCAAGCTCCACACCCAGTGCAGAGCCCAAAGCGGGGCTTGGTCTCACAACCCTGAGACCATGACCTGAGCTGAAATCAAGAGTCAGATGCTTAACCAACTGAAGCCACCCAGGCACCCATCTGTGATGGCGGAATGTTTTTAAAATCTTACTTGAGGTGAGAGAGAATGCTAATTCTTCTTCAACACAATGTGATATGTAAATGGTTATCTTGCTTACTATTGTTAAAAGACCAATCAACATTTAGGAACTTCTCCATGAAATCAGAAAAGGGTCTATCAAATCCCCTTAAGTAAATATAGGCATGTAAGTCAAGATGTCACAGTCATTCAGGAGGCTACTAATTTTCTGGAGACATTTTAATTTCTTATTCGGTATCTGTAAGATCCAACAACTCTTCAGTTCAACTTTATGTGGTAGAATCCCTTGAGTATTTAGTTATATCCCCAGGGGTCTTCAGGATCTTTGGGGATCCCAGTGTTACTGTAAGGTGGGAGACTGGTCTTAAGGACTCTGACTTTCAAGGAGAAGAAACATGATTATATGAATATATACCTTATACTGATACGTAATATTTTCATGTTTACTTCCTCTGAGACTCACAACATCATGAAAAGAGAAGATAAAAGAATTTAAAGTCTAGAGATAATGAAATGAAGGCTCAGAGATTTACTGACTTGTTCAAGATCAGAGTGGCAATATTATAATTTCATAGATCTGGATCCAATCTCAATATTCTGCCCAATGTAGTACATCTGTTGAGAGACTAACTACTTTCACAATCAAGGACATTTTTATTTTATAAATGCTAATAGGCATGACTGTTGCTTGTCACTAACATAACAGATCATTCCTCTTAAAGGAAACCTTAACCATGTGGGCAATCTTAACTACCCTTTACAGAAGAAATAGTAACACGTTTCCCTTAGCATCATCATGATTCCATGAGATATGAGCATGCCTTTACTGATTTTGTAAAAATGCATTACAATAGCAACATAACACATTCCCAAGAACTTCATACTTCCCTTCAGTAATTTGATTTTTTGGAAACTGTGAATCAGACATTATGAAGAGCTTTTAGATAAAGTGTAATTACTTAGACCTATAATTATGCTAATAAGGTTAAGGTGAATAATCATGTGTCTAATTATGAAAACAAAACACCATGGGATACTTAAATAAATGACCACATCATCCTGTTCCTTTTCTGAGCTGCTTTTAACCTAATCATTCATGTGTGTGCTTTTTACTCTACCAAGAATGTTAGGTTAAGAAGTTTAAATCATATTTAATTATCTTTTAAAAAAAACCGTTATACAGATGTTTCTATTTTAAAATTTATTTTTCCTGCCTGATAAAGAACAATACTTTTTAAAATCTTTATCAATATTAATCTTTATACTAACAAATTTACAGATTATTTTATATTTCTCCCTCAAAGTATTTTAATCAATTTTTGTTGTCTTTTACTGAGTTCTATTTCAGAAATGTATTTTATCTACATTATCTTTCTTAATCTTTACAACAATGCCAGAACACTGAAATTTAGAAAGCTCATTCAAGTTATCACGGTGAATAATTTGGGATTTGAATTAAATTCTGCAGGATTCCGAATTCTGTGGGATTCTCTTAATGACTGTTCTTTGGGTGAATGTATAGGTTGTTATTAAGGCAATAATACTGAAGTCCATTGTTTGCTCCTTCAAAACTTTCATAACGTGTGCTGAGACCTTTGCTTTCCATTTTAAAAAGGTACACCTCACAGCTGCTTTTCCCTTGTAAAACCTAAAGATATGGAAACTCTAATAAGTAGCCATTTAGTTGAATTAACTACTTGCTTTCAATGATAAATTTGAACTATATTGATTGGCTGCCTCCCTTCTATTCACTCCCAGAATAGTAGGCTTTAGTTATGTATTTTTCTTGATTTTAACAAGTGTAAATCATATATACAACATAAATTATTATGTGATATTTTATATTATATATATTATTATATGATTATATATCATATATCATCTCTAAATAATTACATATAAAGTATATATATAATTTATATTTTTATATAAATTTCTATATTTATATATAATTTTAAGATCTACTTCTCCACTTTTCTAACCATAATCTAGGGAGAAATATAATAATATCTAGTTTTGGTTTGTTACCACAAAATTTATTTACATTGAAATATAATCAGGTGTCTTAAAATACATTTAGTCTTTGTTGAGGACTAAACATAGCATCATTAAAAAGTCTCTCATGTTTCTAGCTTCTAATTTTACCGAAGATCTCAATGATACTTTCTGGTAATATTAAAGTAGGAAAAGACATTTATTAACATTTCTATTTTATATATAGTGAACCTGAAATACAAGAGAGTCACTGGGTACTTATTCTAGGGCCTACTTGCCATGCATCTCATAGAGAATCAACCGACTAAATTAAGCAGAACCTGAAAGTCCTGCTTTCAGTGTAATTTGTTTATTTACAAATCAGAGCTGACAGGTTCCTCACAATGAACTAAATAATTAATTTCCATTAAATTTCTTACCTGTACAATATCCCTTTCCGCATATTTTCCCCTGGAGGAAACTCTTACATCATCTCCATCCAATTCAACCATCGCTTGAAAATAAAATAAGACCATTTATCCAGTGCATTTCCACCATGTACTTAAACAATGTAGGCGATAGGAAATCAAGATGTCTGAAGTGGCAATGCATCCTGTGTCAAGGCAGGAAGCTTGTTGATCCTTTCATCTCCTCAGTCATTCTGCCATGAAACTTAAATTTTACAACTGAAGAAAGCTAGCCAAGACCCCATGTGACCCTTTGCAAGATGGATGAGCCAGTGTAGTATGGGTATAGCTCCCCATCCTAGAGGTTCTCAATTCTGGGTCATATGCTTACATGACTGATCGGGCAAGTGATGCTAATCCATTAAACTCTTGTCTTCTCATTTAAGAAACTTGGCTCTAATCACAGAATTTCCAAACAATTTGAACTTTATTCTCACTGAAACTACAACAAAGCTATGTATCCATATTGCCCAACTTCTACTTTATTAATGGATTTTAAGACAAAGAGGGATTTGCTCTGCCCTACATTGATTGGATAAAGTATGGCTTTCTGAAGTGTGATTTTTTTTGTGTGTGTGTGGTTTAAGAAATAATTTCAACATTAGATAGATCAGCTGGTATTTGTGAATGCTGTGATATAAATGGACAGCTGGTAATAAAGTAATGTTATGCTGCAATTAAGAACATTTCCAGAGTTTATTAAGTTTTCAGTGAGAATTCTCTAAATAATTAATTATATGAGGAATGCTAATTTGTGTTTAAAGTATAATTCTATTACTTATAACTCATTTTGTATGCACATGACATTCACCAGACTCCAGAGGGCCATTTGCAATTATAATGTTTGCCTCTTCACCCTCCAAAAACTACTGCTCAGTCAGAATATAATCCTCACCTTTTCATTATTTTCTTCAGTGCTTAGATAATGCATCTGGGTTAAAAACATTGTTTTAAATTTTACTTTTCTACACATGTTCATGAGCCAATGTCTGGGCTGAAACAAGTGGTCATAAATGATAGAGCCACTACTCCATAATTTGCTTAGACATACAATATATGTCATAATTTAATAAATGTGTATATTATCAATAATAAGGAAATTAACTTATTTAAAACACAAAAGATCTACAAATGAGCAAAGGGAAAAAGAGAGAGAGACAAAGCAAGAAACAGACTGTTAATTAAGAGAACAATCTGATGGTTACCAGAAGAGAGGTGGGTGGAGGGGAAGGGGGAACTAGGTGATGGGGATTAAGGAGTGCACCTGTCGAGATGAGCGCCAGGTGTAATACGGAAGTGTTGAATCACTATATTATACACCTGAAACTAGTATTACACTGTATCTAAACTAACTGGAATTAAGAAGAAGAGGATGAAGAGGAAGAAGAGGAAGAGGAGGAACAAGAAGAAGGAGGAAGAGAAGGAGAAGAAGAAAATTACAAAAGAGCTATTTTTCTTCCATACTTATTAGGAATGTAAATAGGAGAAGTCATTATGCTCAAATACTTTCAATAGTTAATTCCTTCCTTTGGTTTAGTTTTGCTTTCAAAATTTTCATACGACTTTGAGACATAAATGTACTGTGACAGCGAAAAGCCAGCAATTGCAGGAAGTTCTCCTTTACTCTCTAACAGAACACAAGAATTTGATGATAATCTGGATCTCACCTTCCACAATCCCCTACAATTTCCATCGGTCTTTGTGAATGTTTCATTCCAATTAAGGAAAATGACAGTTACTCAGGCAATAATGTATTAGAATGTGATCCTATAAAATATTGCCCACTTTTCAGCATGTCCTTGGGGTTAAAAAGCTGCAGGGAGCAAGAATCTGAGGCTACGCTTTTGAGAGCAAGGAGAAAAGACATAATGTGGAAATGGTGGAAGGGTCCTGTTGACCCTTCGGGTTTTCATCTGCTCCACAAGGAGCCTGAGACTGTAAGTCCCAGTTCTCCACAAGTACTTCTCCTTGGAAAAAAAAAAAAAACATTTATTAGAGAGAGAATTGCACTTCTTTCTAGCTGTGGGAGACATAATGAGATTAGAACTCTTTCTATTTCTCCCCTTCTACTAACTCAGATCAAAGCAGGTAGCCCAATGCTGCTTTAATCTGACTTTTTGCCTTTTAAGGATAAAGAAATCCTGCCTTGAGAAACCTTTACTCTCAATGAAAGTGCTTTATAGAGGAGTGAAAAATCACTGGGGGGAAATTACACAGAGAGTTTTAAATTGTTCTTATTAAAATACAGAAACGAGACATTTGAATACTCATTAATATAATAGTTTATTCCAAATTCTTCTACCTTCAAAGAACAGATGACAAGTCTGCCTTTCTTGCCCATGCAAACAATCTTTCTTGTTGAAAGTTTACAGATGTTGGATTTAGGTGGTTAACTGATAAAATGTGCAAGTTTTATCTCAGTCTTTCCTTATGTCGGTTTCTATGTGTGATATATAAACTTACTCTACAGTAGATTTGGAAGTGCCAACAGAAAGGCTCTTCTTGACAGGACAGCACAAGCTGAATGTAAGTCACAGATTTTCTATAAGAAACATGAGTATTCTGTCCTTTTCTTATTAGCCATGGAGAGTAGAGAGGTATTTTGAGAGAAGAGAAAGAAAAATACTTTAAAGAAGCATCTGTGTTTCCTAGTGGAACAGTCTACTTGTCTAGTACTGTTCTGGAAGTTTCCATCCTATTAAAACTTTTACCATGGTGAAAGCTGAAGGCAGGTGTCGCAGGACCCTAATTCCCTGTCCCCATGTTTGCCAGAGGAAAGTGTCACCCTAATTCCTAGGAAGGAATTCTACTGGGAAGGCAACTTCCCTCTTTGTCTACAATCTTCACTCTCTTTTCCACGCGGAAAGATGACTGACTGATTCATGGGATTACTAAAATGAGAAGAAGGGACTGACTTTGAAATCCCTCTCACTAGGAGCAGCCTATCCTCAGTTTGAATGTAATTTCTCCCTGTGCCGTGATTAATAGGCCAGGCTCTGCCCTTGTAGAGAGGAGGCCTGGCGATAAGACTGAAGTCATTTAACCTTGGTGGAAAAAGAGTGACAAGTCTGATTCTGTGCAGAGGTTAACCCAAATTTTCAAATGCTGTATTGTTAGTAATAAAAAGTTTATATTGTGGTCTCTGAGTGAATCCTACATTTTTTTTTTTTCAGTTTGGGAAGTCAGAGAGGAAAATGATGAATTATCATATCTTAAAACCCTAATAAATAATTCATTGGGAACCAAAGAAATGAAGAAAATAAATAGCTGTGGCAGTTGGATGAGGGTAGTGCCTGCTGCTTTGAATAGAAATATATGAGCAGAAATAGACACCAGGATGGGTCAGTGGCTCTGTGTTCACACATGATGTGTTCAGGCTCTTGAGGAACGAGTGACTGAGGTTAGGTCATACACCTAACCACAGACTTCCAGGATTCGGGGAGACCTGACCTGGGATCTACCCAATGAAAGGTGCGTCCTTGAGGCAAAAGCAAATTAATAACCGAAGGAGAAGGCATGAGTTAGTTTACCCTAGCCATCAGTGAAGTTCGTGAATCACAGTCTATCACTGATTAATGCAGATGATCAAGTGCACAAAGCATTAACAAGAAAGATCTCTTAGTTTTCCTGACTCCAGAGAGGATGTCTCAAATTCATGCCTGAAGTACAATGCAAACAGATGTGAATATTCAGAGGCCGAAAAAATACTAGCAGAAGCAGCAGCAGAGGTAAATGACTTTTGCTTTAGACACTGGAAGATTCTAATGATGCAAAGCATGACCAACCAAGCATGGAACTGAAGGAGAGAATTTCGAGGGTCAGCAATATAACAACTTTGCATGTGGTGCTTTCTCGGAGATTGGCAGATCTATACTATCCTTACAGAAGAGGCTCTGGTGGTTCAATGAGAATCATCCCAGTGATGATCGTAATATAATTAACCATGTACATGCCTAAATTAACCTGTAATGTACCAGCGGTTGTTCCATATATTCTAAAATTATTCTCATTTCCAAAGTCCCAAGCTAAATAAACTGTCATTGTTAATGTCAAAACACCTGAAGCAGGTGAATGCTAGGTGATCATGCAGTCGCCAGAGTTCTCCTGAAAGGAATTCACCAGATGACTAGGAACAGATTATCCTTAAAGAATTTACCCAGATCACTAGTTATACAACCACCTGTCACTTAACTGGCATTTGAACAAGGCCTAAGCCCAAACTCAGAACTACCCAGTCACTCAATTTAGCATAATTTTATAAAATGTCATTAAATCTCAGATGGTCAGTTCCATTTTCATTTTACTTTGCTCTTTCATATGACAGAACTTATATATTTATAAAGCTAGTATCTATCAACTAGCCAGTGTCTGAAAACCCATTAAAGTAGCATATTATGCTTGTGCTAACATCTCTCTTCACAACCTAATGGTTTATTAATTTAGGGTTTAACCTCAAAGGTTTTTAGTGAACCCAGAGTGTATTTTGCCTTGGGAACAACAACTCAATTTATCACTCTGCCAGTCATAAAAAATATTATTTTGAGATGCAAACCATCTCTAATGAAATAGAAAGCTACATGTTGAATTAATCTATACCAGAGAGATAATGCCCTAGTCAGAAGACAATCTTTTCATTTGCTCAACTTAATAGACTTCATCATGAGAAATCTGTATTTATGTCTATATGTACATGGACATTATATGCAGATCCACATTCATATTCACATTCTTATATACAAGAAAGAGTGATAGGAATCTTAGAGCATAATGAATCAGAGTAAATAAACCCCCAAGGAATACTACGGAACTTTTATTACTCACCATCAAATTCTGCTGGTCCAACACCTACTATAATTATCGACATTGGAAGTTTTGAAGCCTTCAAAGAGAATACACAAGTAGTTCACAATTAAGAGACTGAGTTCTTAAGAAAAGAATTGAGGTTTAAGAAGAAAATAATATACTGCTTTGATATTTTTTCAAGATGTTCACTAAAATAGGTTTGAACATATTTAAAATTAACACGGAATAATATGTTCGATTCTACTCATTCTTTTTGAACTCTGTACACATGCTTATTCAGTGGGACGTTCTTCAGGAATGACCGGCCTTGGACAATATAAAAAATAAAAAAGTATTGCTCATCTGCTTTCACTTGCTATTCTCAGCCAACATCTCCCTAAGCTGACTTTGGGTATCTTTGGTCACTTTATTCATGTTCTTGCTCCTCTCAAAAATCTTTCAGTTGCTAAATGGGGAAAAAAGTTACTATAGTTGTCAAACAGTAGTACCCTCCTCTATCTCACTGACACCCAATGGTTGGAAAAGCGATTTTCACAGTAAATGAGTGAATACAAATAATAATTACAGAAAGTTATTAGAATAATTAATTTATGTATTAAATATCCATGAGATTGTGAGGGATACTGAATATTTGATGTAAAAGCATGTTTTCCCATCATAGGTATCACTTACACTATGTAATCATTTTAAATAATTTAATGTTCAGAATGTGAGATCTGGCAACAGAGAGATGAAAAGCTGACATGACCACATCTGCAGCTATGAAGTTCATCAAATTATGAATCATTATTCCTCAGTACATCATGTCCTGTTAGTTTAAGCCTAAATTATTAAGTTCCTATTTTCAAGTGCACACTAATGCCACTGACCAGAACATAAAGAAAATCAAGATGAATTCAACCCGTGTGTCTAGTTAAAAAATAACAAATAAATGTGTAAGCCTTTAGCTCTACTGCTTTTTATGTATGCTTTTTCTAAGTATATGTCTATAATTTTTTCCCCACGTGTAACTTTTTTCCCTCCACCAAATAGCTAAGTATATTTTCCCTATTATGAGATATGATAAGCAATTCATTCATGCAACCCATTTTTACTAAATGCCAACTTTATGCCAAACATTGCTAAACTTGGAATAGCAAGATAAGATATAATTCTATAGATTAGTCTAGTAAACATAGATTTTATAGATTATAGTCTTATAAAGAAGACAATCAAATAATCATAAAAATAAATAACTAGGAATTATGACAAGAAGAATAGTTTGTGAATCAAGTCCAGTCTCTTCCAGTTCTATAGAAATAAGAATGTCAGTACAGTTCTCTTGTAACTGAAATGTGAATATTAAGAAATACTCTGTACAAATTGTAAGATTGTGTACAAGGACATCCAACTAGTAGTGATAAATTCACTCATGCACATGAAGGTGATGCTATCATCTTATTTATTTTTATTTTTTTGTGGGGAAATAATTTTGTTACACCTCAGTTATCGACATCTCTCAGGTTAGTCCTTAAGGATTGATGGTACATTTGCATTTGAGTTGTCTGGATAAGGTTAAGAATGCAATCAGCTGCAAAGGCATGGGCATTTTGTTTCACTATTAAGTCAACTAAAGTAAACTCTGCTTATTCAACCTAAACAGCACCATGCTGTCACTTAGCCAGCCCAAAACTGAATGACCCCTACTCACATTGACTATGGACTCCTTGGTTTGAGCCATATCCGAGATAACACCATCTGTCACAATCAGGAGCACAAAATACTGGGAACCGTCTTTTACAGAAGAGGCATATCTAAAGCAATGAAAAGATAAAGAATGCCACAGAAAATAAAACAGTTCCTCTTATGTGATGGTTGCTAAATATAATTGCAACTGTCAACAAACCTTTAATCTCAAGAAAATATTTAAGCATATGTTAGGAGTCTATATTATGCAAGCTCTCAAATAATATATTTTTCTGAAATAGCACACTAGAATAACAGCAACCTTGCCACATGCCAGCACACAGACATGCCTACCTGCCTTAGAAATTCATTCACTAATACTAGGTGAGCTGGATGCAGATATGTTTAACCCAAAAGAATGGATATAGCTTGCTGAAAGAGATATCCTGGCTAAGCAACGTTATGTGTATGATCTTCAGTAAATTACTTAAGCTAACTAAACTTTATTTCCTTGCCTTCAAGGTCAAGATCACATGCCTCTGTATTGTTAATAAAGAAATTGCATGCATGCTACTCAATCTATAATACAGTTTTAAGAATGGCAGGAATAATCATAAGTATTTTTTGTTTTGAAATAGACATAGGTGATGGTTGCACAACATTGTGAATGTGCTGAATGTCACTGAACTAACCTTCAACATGGTTACTTTTTTGTTATGTGAATTTCACCTGAATAAAAAAAATGCAATAGAAGAAACACTTTTGACATATCCATAGTTCAAGTTCTTAATATTTGTTAAATTGATGAAAGATGGGAAAAAGGATACCAAACAAAGACAAAAATTAGGTATATAATAAGAACATAACCTAGCACTTGAAGTTTATCAGAGTTCTCACCAAATAATAGTAATTTACAGGAGAATTTTATGAATGTTATATTTTATTATATCTCTTTTTTTCTATTGTGTTCTACATTCTGGGTATCTAGATTATATTCTCAACAATAATAACTTCTATGACTTTTCATATATAATTAGCATGCAGATCATATCTAGTAATAAGCAAGCATAATGGTACTCTTAGGAGATAGTATACAAGAAGACTTTGGTCTACTTCTGTAAAATCACTGAGTATTTATGTATCATAGAATCATAGAAAAATAGCATCACAGAAAAACTGGGTTCAAGAACATGTCCATTGATTACCAATAAAACTCCTTCATAACCTGAAGTACTTGGGGGATCAAGTTAACAGATCAGGGACAGACCAAGAGCATAGTATGTCAAGGCAAAACTTATTTCTTAGAGAGCAGAATTAACCACATCGACAAGAAAAATATGTACAGCTTTGTCATACTAGAGAAACTAATAATTGCTCATGTAGCTAACAAAATGATAATTGTATAGACTGATCAAGAGAATACAGTTTAAGTGCCATGTTCACACCCTATAAAGACTGCATTGAACTGGTTCCACAAAGTACAGCCAAAAATACTCTCACAATATTCAACAACTTCAACATTAAGGAATTTATAAGTTTGATGGTAACACAATCAATGAAAAACAATCCCAACCAGATCTGAGACTATTCTTCTATCTTATGATTAACTTTTTTTCTTAATAAAAGAACTCAGATAATCTCCCTCAGGTATTCATTTTTAATTTTAAGTACCCATTATTTTTTAAAAAGCATTTCTTACTATGCTTCAGAAATAAAGGGTTTTATATTTCATGTGATTAATGGGAAGCTATAAATAGTAGTGAGAAAAGCTTCTATGAGTTCAAGAGTGTGGCTTTTCTGCTTTTCTTACCAAATGATGCTCTTAAAATGGCAAATTTTTACCAGATTTAAAAACAATACAGGAAGTTAAACATTATTCATTTTTATAAGTATCATTCAAGTGGCTAAACTGTCTGATTTTTGGGGGGTGGGGGTATTTACTTTTATTTCTTTTTCAACACTTCTGATCATCCATAAAGAAAGTCTCAGTTGTTAGTATATTATTCCCAGCTTTATTGAGGTATAATTGATACACATAAAAACTATATAATTAAGGTATACACTTTGATGAGTTCGGACGTATGTATAAATTCATGTTACCATTAAAACAAGGTAATAAATATACCACTTTCAAATTTTGTGTCCCTTTGCATGTGTGCACATGGGAAAAATACAATTAACATGAAATCTACCCTCTTAACAAATTTTTAAGTGTACAATATTTTATTGTTACCCATGGGCATATCTTGGTTGTTGTGAATAATGCTGCAGACATCTCTTTGAGATCCTGATTTCAATTTTTTTTTTGGATGAATACTCAGAAATGGGATTTCTGGTAGCTCTGTATTTATTTTTTGAGGAATCTCTATGCTGTTTTTCATGGTGGCTGCACCAATTTAAAATTCCCACCAACCATGCACAAGGGTTCCAATTTCTTCACACCCTTGCCAACACTTATCTTTTTGACTTTTTGGTAATAGCCATGCTAACAAGTGTGAAGTGAAAATGATAGTTCTTTGTGGTTTTGATTTGCATTTCCCTGATGATTAGCAATGTTGAGCATTTTGTATATACCTGTTGGCCATTTGTATGCCTTCACTGAACAAATGTCTGTGCCACTCCTTTGCCCATTTTAAAAATCAGATTAGTTGTATTTTTGCTATTGAGTTGTAGGAGTTCCCTATATATTTTGGAAATTAACCCCTTATCAAATATATAGTTTGCAAATATTTTCTCACACTCCACAGGTTGCCTTTTCATTTTGTTGGTTTCTTTTGCTGTGTAGAAACTTTTTAGTTTGATGCAGTTCCACTTGTCTATTTTTGCTTTTGCTGCTTGTGATTTTGGTGTCATACCCAAGAAATCACTGCCAAGACCAATGTCAAGGTTTTCTCTATGTTTTTTTTTTTTTAAAGATTTCATTTATTCATGAGAGACAGAGAGAGAGAGAGAGGCAGAGGGAGAAGCAGGCTCCCAAGGAGCAGGGAGCCCGATGTGGGACTCGATCCCAGGACGCTGGGATCATGACCTGAGCCGAAGGCAGACGCTTAACCATCTGAGCCACCCAGGCGCCCTTCTCTATGTTTTATTCTAGGAGCTTTATCGTTTTGGGTCTTGTGTTTAATGAGTTTTGAGTTAACTTTTGTGAATGGCAATATAAGGATCCAATCTCATTCTTTTTCATGCATATATCCAGTCCTCCCAACACCATTTATTAAAGAGGCTATCCTTTCCCTATTGTGTCTACTTCGCACCCTTGTCAAAGATCAGTTGGCCATATACCTGCAGGTTTCTGTCTGGGCCTCTCTATTCTGTTCCATTGGTATATAAGCTTATATTTTACATCAGTGCCTTGCTGTTTTAATTACTGCACCTTTGCAGTATATCTTAAAATCAGACACTGTGATGCCTCCAGCTTTATTCTTTCTCAAGATTGCTTCAGTTATTCAAGGTCCAAGAAATATCATTAAGATTTTGATATGGATTGCAGTGAATCTGTAGAACACTTTGGGTAGTATGGACATTTAAACAACATTAATTTTTCCAATCCATAAACATGGAATGTCTTTCCATCTGTCTGTGTTTTAATTTCTGTCACTGATGTTTCATAGTTTTCACTATAAAAGCCTTTCACTTCTTTGCTTAAGTTTATTCCTAAGTGTTTTATTTTATTTTTTGGTGCTATTGTAAGCGGGATTATTTTCTTAATTTTCTTTTCAGATAGTTTGCTGTTAGTTTATAGAATGCAATGTTTTTATAGGTTGATAATGTGTCTTACAACTTTACTGAATTCACTTCTCAGTTCTAATAAGGTTTGTTTTGTTTTACTTTGCTTTGTCTTCTTCAGTCTTTTAGGGGTTTCTACATATAAGATCATGTCATCTGCAAACAGATAATTTTACTTCTTCTTTTACAATTTGGATAGCTTTTCTTTTTCTTATCTAATAGCTCTGGCTAGGACTTCTAGAACTATGTTAAATAGAAGTGGGAGAGTGGGCATCCTTGCCTTGTTGTATATGTTAAAGGAAAACTTTGGTTTTTTTTTTTTAATCATTGAGTATGGTGTTAGCTGTGGCCTTTATTGTGTTGACCTAAATTGCTTCTGTACCTAGTTTGTTGATAGTTCTTATCATGAAAGTGTTGAATTTTGTCAAATGCTTTTTCTCTATCTCTTGAGATGATCATGTGATTTTTGTCCCTTACTCTGTTAATGTGGTAGATCACATTTGTTGATTTGCATATGTTGAAACATCTTTGCATCCCAGGAATACATCCTTCTTGGTCATGGTGTATAATTCTTCGAATGTGCTATTGTATTCAGTTTCCTAATAGTATGTTGAAGATTCCATGTTTATCAGGGATGTTGGTCTGTATTTTCTTTTCTTGTGGTACCTTTGCCTAATTTTAATATCAGGGTGATGCTGGCTTCATAAAATGAACTTGGAAGTATTCCCTCTTCTATTTTTTTGTTAACAGCTTAAGAATTGGTATTAATTCTTCTTTAAATCATTGGTAAGATTCACCTGTGTAGCCATCTGGCCCTGAGCTTTTCTATGTTGGGAGATTTTTGGTAACTGATTCAATCTCCTTATTTGTTATTGGTCTGCGCAGGCTTTCTATTTCTCTTGATTTATTCTTGGTACATTGTATGTTTCTAGGAATTATTCATTTCTTTCAAGTTGCCCAATTTGTTAGAGTACAATTGTTATAATAGTCCCTTATGATATTTTTTTATTTCTGTGACATCAGTTGTAATGTCTTCTCTTTCATTTTTTATTTTATTTGAGTCTTTTCTCTTTTGCTCTTAGTCTAGCTAAGAGTTGGTTAATTTTATTTACCTTTTCAAAAAACCAATTCTTGCTTTTGTCAATGTTTTTCTATTGCTTTTCTATCCTCTATTTCATTTATTTTATTTTACTCTAATTATTATTATGTCATTCCTTCTGCTAACCTGTGCTTTTTCTTCTTTTAGTTCCTTGAGATGTAAGTTAGGTCATTTAAGATTTTTCTCCTTTGTTAACATGTGGGGTTTATCACTATAAACTTGCCTCTTAATACTGTCTTTGTAGTATTCCATAAGTTTTGGTATATTGTGTTTTCATTTATCTCGAGCTATTTCCCAATTTTT